AAAATTCTATTATTTTGAGGGATTTTAATGAAATTCTTTGCAAAATTCAATTATTTTAATTTTTTAATAAATAACAATATTTATCACAAGAATTCAATTATTTTTAAAAACACTAAATTTCTTCTTGGAAATTCAATTATTTTAAAAAATAACAAATTTTTTCACATAAATTCAATTCTTTGTAAACATTAAAAAAAAATTTCGCAATTATTAAATTATTTTCCTAAATAACAAAATTGTTTCCGAAAATTCAACTATTTTTTAGGGATTTTAATAAAATTCTTTGCAAAATTCAATTATTTTTAAAATCAATGAATTTCTTCTTGCAAATTCAATTATTTAATAACATTCTAGTAAAATCGTTCGGAGGAATTCAATTATTTTTGTAAATAATAAAATGCTTTTCAGGAGTTCAATTATTTTAAAAAAAAATTTAATAAAATGCCACACAAAAATTCAATTATTAATGTCATGAATTTTAATAGAATTCATTGTAAAGTATAATTATTTTTAAAAACTTTTCGCAATTCAATGATTTTCAATATCTATACTATTTTCATAAAATTTCCAAACAGAATTCAATTATTTAAAAAAATTTTTGTTTAAATCTCCGTAAGAATTAAATTATTCTTTTTATCAATAATAAAAATCTTTGCAGAAAATCAATTTATTACCAGGATAAGAAAGAGGTAAATATTTTTCATGAAAATTAGGAAAAAGTCATGAAAATAAAATATACAATGGAATTTTTGTCAGTTTTGTAAAGTGTTTAAAATTAATTTTTTTGGTCGTCATGGTTAATTTTTCGATAGCTAATTTTTCTCTATACTTTTTTTTTTAATTTGAAAACTACTTTTTGCTACTTTGAAGTCTAAATTTTGTTTTTTTTTTTTTGCTAAATTTTTGCTGTGAAGTCTAAATAAATTTCATTAGATTTTTACAAAAATTTACGCCATCTTGGATCCGCCATTTTGAATTTTTAAAAACTGGCAAAGTTTGTAATATGTAAATTTGCTAAGTCTGTAAATTGCAAAAAAAATTTAATTATTAAAATTTCATGGCACTATTTAAATTTTTTGTCTATTTATATTTTCAAAAATTTAAACTTATTATGCCATGGCAAGTTTAAATTTTTTGAAAATTCAATTCGACAATAAGAATAAAAAAATAATTTTTTTGTTCAGATTGGAGAATTATTTTCTCTTTAAATTTCAAATCCTCTTGACAATACGAATACACTAAAGTGCAATATCATCTCTAGAGGTATACGTATATAAGATGAATATTAACTATATTGACACACGAAAATTTCTTTCTTATATTTTTTTTTTATTCATAATGACGCACCTAGAAATCAGGCGCCCACGTTGTTTCCGGTCCGAAAAATTTATAGTGCCTTCCTCTTTTTTTTTTATTTTTGGTTCTTCATTATTATTTGTGAAAAAAGTGGGAATAAATAGACGCATAGTGAGAGAGAAAGAGAGAGAGAGAGAGAGATCTCCTCGGGGGTTTTTCTGATAATTGCGGTGCTCTCCAACTGTTATTATTAAGCCGATATTTTACCACAAGGGGACACACGTTCGCGCATATAATTTTTGCAAAAGCCCTCTAATTATGGGTTATAGTGGATTGCACCAAGCTTTGGTTGCACTAGAATGGTCCATTGGAAAGGAAAAAGGGCGAGGCCGGATTTATCTATCTCTCTTTCCTCCTTCAAAAAGCATCTCATTCTCTTTCCTTTCGCCTACGCGTCAAACCAGGGTTCATCCTTTTGTGCTTTATCATTAACATCGTCTCATCTTCTTATTTCAATAAGAAGGCCCCCCCAAATTGTTTGTTCCTTTCACTACTTCAAAAAAAAAAAAAAAAAAAAAAAAAAAAAAAAAAAAAAAAAAAAAGAGTTGAGACCTTTTTATTGAATATTATTTTTCTTAACAATTGGAATCACTTGACTCTGGAAAAACGTCCTGGGTGTTATTTTCGCACCGCTTGACAAAAAAAATGAGAAGAATGAACCCGGGTGTTCTTGAGACACCCGAGGTGATCCATTGTTGATTTATTCAATAAAAAAAAATCAGATATAAATTTAGAGAAATTTTTATCTTGAATTTTAGAAAATTTATTTTTTTTTTCGTGGAATATTATCTGCGTGTGATTATAAATGATTGTTTGGGATGAAACGTGACGAGACGATAGGGGGATGTTAGAGGGATATATAGCTTAAAGAGGAAAAAGAAGAGAAATATTGTGGAGGCGGTGGTCGTGGCTCGCGGCTTGTATTGCGCGCCTTTTTGGACCCCAACAGAGTAGAGGGAGATGTTTTGAGTGACGTGAGCATAATGACGCTATGCACCGGCTACGACGTGTACACCTCGCGGAGATGAGTGTCTCGGTACACGCCTTCGGGCCACGGGGAGAAACTCTCCTCTTCAGGGTCCCGCCCAAGGTGACGCAAAGTTCATCATGGGAATGAGGAATTTCTTTTTTTTTTAATTTTATTTTTAACTGAGGAGAGTATTTTTCTGCTTTGGACACCAGTGCGCAGCTTATTTGTTACTTTAGGAACTACTGCGCAGTCTAAATGTCGAAAAAATGGCACTGCGCAGGCAGAAAGTGTGAAATTTGACTTCTAGAATAGTGAAATTAGTAATATTTTAGGTTTTGGCACTACTGCGCAGCTTGTTTGTTACTTTAGGAACTACTGCGCAGCTTATTTGTTACTCTAGAAACTACTGCGCAGACTAAATGTCGAAAAAGTGCAACTGCGCAGCCAAAAGGTCTAAAAATTGACTTCTAGAATACTGAGACTAGTAATACTTTAGACTTTGGCACCACTGCGCAGCTTGTTTGTTACTTTAGGAACTAGTGCGCAGCTTATTTGTTACTCTAGGAACCACTACGCTGCACTGCGCAGGCAAAAGGTGTAAAAATTTCTTTCTAGAATACTGGAATTAGTAATACTTTTGGTTTTGGCACCACTACGCAGCTTGTTTGTTAATTTAGGAACTGTGAGGCCATTGACTTTTATAATACTGAAATTAGTAATATTTCTGCTTTAGACACCAGTGCGCAGCTTTTTTATTACTTTAGAAACTAGTGCGCAGCCTAAATATTAAAAAAAAACGGCACTGCGCAGCCATAAAAAGAAAAAATTGACTTCCATAATACTAAAATTGATGACATTTCTGCTTTTGACACCATTGCGCAGCTCGTTTGTTACTTTAGGAATTAGTGCGCAGCCTAAATCTCGAAAAGACGGTACTGCGCAGGCAGTAAGTGAGGCCATTGACTTTTATAATACTGCAATTAGTGACACTTCTGCTTTAGACACTACTGCGCAGCTTCTTTATTACTTTAAAAACTAGTGCGCAGCCTAAATATAAAAAAAATGTCATTGCGCAGCTAAAATGTGTGAAAATTGACTTCTATAATACTTAAATTAGTAATATTTTTATCAGAGACAGACTGCGCAGCTTATTTATTACTTTAGCAAATAGTGCGCAGCCTAAATCTCATAGAAAACTGTACTGCGCAGCTATAAAGTGAAAAAATTGACTTCTGAAATACTAAAATTAGTAATATTTTTGCTTTAGCCCCCACTGCGCAGCCGTTAAATTAATTAAGGCACAAGTGCGCAGCCTTAAATTCAAAGTCGTGCTACTGCGCAGCCTTAAAGTGAAAATTGTTTACGAATTCAATGTCTGCTTTTCAAAATTCAAAATGGCGGATCCAAGATTGCGGAGTAAAATTCTTTATCAGAATTAAATTTTTCTAAAACATTCAATTATTCAATAAATATTTCTATTTTTTCTAACAAGATAACTAGCGTTTTTTTAAAAAACTTTTTAATTAAAAATTAAATAGAAAATAATTATCCAATCTGGAGCATAGAAAATTTTAATAAATCCAAATTAATTGAAATTGTTAATAGAAATGAAATGTCAAGTGACTATTTATCATTTTGCTACTTATTTTTCATTCTGTAAACAAGTGCGCAGAGTAAAATTGAAAATTGATCTACTGCGCAGTATGGACAATTTCAACTGCGCAGTAGATTAGAGTTTGATGAAAAGCTGCGCAGATGGTCCCAAAAGTTGTGAAACGTAGTGATTTACTAAAAAACAGAGCAACAAAATTTTCATTGATGAATATAATTAATACTCACACAGTTCAGAAATATCACTAAAATGTTAAGAATCCTTATCAATACGATTTTGAATTAAATGAAAATTTTATTTTAATTTATTTTTCCAGACAAAAGAACTTTTTTCCAATTCAGAAAGAGGATTATCACACCATCGTATTTTTTTTGCTTCATCACTAAATTTTCATAAATCGCAGTCGAGAGGAGTGCATTTAATTATATGGCGAGTGATTTTTTTTCATTCGTACTGCGGTCATAATAGATTTACTCTTACTCTTTTGTTTTTTTTGTCAGCTAATTGGTAATTAAGCGGGGTTAAATACCGAGCAGCCAACGCTTTCTTGCTGCGCTCGTTCACTGTGGGGCTAATTTAATTTGCGGTTTCGTCGCCTGTAACTCTCGCGGCTACCTGGTTTTGTTGCAGCAAAATTTTCCAGCGGTGCCAACAGGAAAAAAAACAATTTCTTGACTCAAAGTTCGAAAAAAGAAATAGATTTTCAGTTCGGAATATTAAAAAAATAAATTTTTAGACGCGAGGAATTTTTTCCTTGATGTAGAAGTGGACTAATGGGTAGGTAGAGCTTCTAAGCTATTATGCAACTTTACTGCGCAGCTATTGGTCCGTTTTTGCAGTACTGCGCAGCCTTTACGCGTCTGGACAATTTCGCTGCGCAGTAGATTAAATCGTAACGAAAAGTTGCGCAGTTGGGCTCACCATCTTCAGTATGGTCAATTACTATAATCACCAAAAAAGCAAAACAAAATACTCGCAAATTTTCGAAGAAAACTAACTCTTTTGTTTTTTTCCCTCTAGAAAAACATGTTTCACGTCCTTGTGAGCGCACCTGTCATTCACCAGTGAATTTACGCGTGGGTTTTCTTGCGCCTTTCTTCACAACTAACTGGTGCGTGTCTATCTTCAATTCTCCGAGGCAATTTCTCGCTATCATTTTTCCCGTCCAGGAAATGATCTACAATGATACAACATGCTGACGTGCCTAATGGACGGGCGAGAAATATATATATAGAAACTGCTAGTTATACCCTATGTCTATATTATGAACAATTGCATAATGAATACATATACAGATGTTGCTAGGATTTCTTTAAAAAAAAAATTTTTTTTTCTTGCCCGAGACAGTGGAATTTACTGTCGACAAGAAGTCGATGCAAATAATCTTTTCTTCTCAGGATTATATGTATAGAGAAAAACAATGCACCGGATTCAATACTGGTAGCGAAGAAGAGCACAACCACTTGAAAGATCGTGCACGCGCTGTGGGTGGGCTTTTTACTTATTGTGCAACAATATATATATATATATATTGTTGTTCTGTGGCTAAAAATTTTTTATGGGGATTGAAATACATTAAATAATGGATGCACGCACATTGCAGTGTACAAATTTATTTTCTCATACGTGGCGGATTTCTTTCGACCGATATATTTATGATTGTAAAATTGTTTCTTGATGGAATTTTGGATTGATATTCGGATTAAATTTCAATTTCACTCGTTAAAAAAATGTGCGAATTATATTAGGATTTATTATTGAAACGTAAATAAAAATAAAAAAAAAAAATTATTTTTGCCAAGTTTCAAAAAAATATTTTAGCAAAGTTTTAAAATATTATTTTTTGAAAAAATATGTTTTTTTTAATTTATCCGCTTGTTCAGGAGTTGAATGAAAAAAGAATTTAAATCATTTGACAATGAAAAATAATAAAAAAAAATGTTTCATTTTTAAAGTAACATCTGTAAAATTTTAAGAAAATTATATAGTTGACCTCATTTTGGGGCATCTAATATTTTTTGCAATTCTTTAATCTTTCAGTACCTAAAATAATATTATACACTACAAGAAATTTAAAAAAAGTAACTATATATTTACGTTTTACACTTTTTCTTTTTTTCAAAACATTAAATTTTTGAAAATTGAAAAAAATTTATTTTATTTTTCAAAAAATTCATTGAAAAGAATTGAATTCTTACAAAGATTTTTACAAAAAAAATTTTTAAATAATTGAATTCTGTTTGGAAATATTATAAAAAAAAGTAGATATTAGAAAACATAAAATTGTGAAAAGCTTTTAAAAATAATTTAAATTTTACAAAGAATTCTATTGGAATTTTTGAGAATAATTGAATGTCTGTGTGGCATTTTATTAAATTTTTTTTGAAAATAATTGAATAATTGAATAATAATAATAATAATAATAATAATAATAATAATAATAATAATAATAATAATAATAATAATAATTGAATTCCTAAATATTGTTATTTCTGAAAATAATTGCATTTTCCAAAGAATTTTATTAAAATGCCTCAAAATAATTGAATTTTCGGGAATTTTATTATTTATGAAAATAATTGAATAATTGCAAAGAATATTATTAAAATTTTTAAAAATAATTGAATTCCAGAGAAGAATTTTATTATTTATGAAAATAATTGAATTTTGCAAAGAATTTTATTAAAATGACTCAAAATAATTGAATTTTTGGGAATTTTATTATTTACGAGAATAATTGAATAATTCCAAAGAATAATATTAAAATTTTAATAAATAATTGAATTCCTAAGAAGAATTTTATTATTTATGAAAATAATTGAATTCCTGAGAAGAATTTTATTATTTATGAAAATAATTGAATTCCTGAGAAGAATTGTATTATTTATGAAAATAATTGAATCCTTAAAATGTATTTTTTTATTTATGAAAATAATTTAATTCCTAAAAGGCAATTTATTATTTATGTAAATAATTTAATTCCTGCGAACGATTTTATTAAAATTTCTTAAAATAATTGTATTTCCAAGGAAAAATTTATTACTTTCAAAAATAATTGGATTTTGCAAAGAATTTTATTAATATTCCTCAAAATAATTAAATTTTCGGTAATAATTTTGTTATTTATCGACAGAATTGAATTCTTTCAAAGAATTATTTATGTAAATAATTGGATTCTCAGGAAGAATAAATTTTATTAAAATCTAAAAGAATAATTAAATTTAAAAAAAAATATATAATTAAAATTGTATTTAAAATAATTGATTTCTTTCAAATAATTTTTTTTAAATTACTTGAAAATAATTGAATTCGTCTGAAAATTTTTAATATTCTTGTAAATAATTGAATTCTTCCCAAGAATTTAAAAAAAACAATTTTTTCAATAATTGATTTTTTTGGAGGAATTGAAATTAAATTAAGAATAATTACATTTTTTGAGCAATACCTGTAAAATTGTTTTAAAAATAATTGAAATCCTGCCATAAATTTTATTATTTATGAAAATAATTGAATAATTGCAAAGAATTTTATTTTAATTTTCAAAATGAATTCAATTCCTCAGAAGAATTTTATTATTTATATGAAAATAATTGAATTATGGCAAACAGTTTTATTAAAATGTTTAAAAATAATTAAATTACTGAGAAAAATTTTGGTTTTGTTTTGAAATTAATTGAATTCTTTATAATAATTTTTAGAAACATTGTTTTAAATAATTAATTTTTTTTGAAATATAATTAATATTATAAAAATTCTATTTTAAATAATTCAATTCTTGTGGAAAATTTTATTTGTAAAAATAATTGAATTTTTTATTAATTAATTTAAAAATAATATTGAAAATAATTGAAATTCTTCGATGAAGTTTTATTATTTATGTAAATAATTGAATTCTTGCTTAGAATTTTATCAAAAATGTTTTCTAAATAATTGAATTTCCATGCAAAAAGGTTATTATTAGTGAAAGTATAATTGAATTATTGTGAAGAATTGTATAAAAATTTTTGTTAAATAATTGATATTTTCGAAATTTTTTTTCTAAATTCTAAATTAATTAAATTCCTGTGAATATTTTATTATTTATGAAAATAATTGAATTTCGCATGAATTTTATAAATTTTTTCTTTTAAATTGAATTCTTTTTGCGAAATTTTATGAAAATACAAGATATTGAAAATGAATTTCGAATATTTTTTATTTTTAAAAATAATAGAATCGTTTCAAAGAATTTGAGACTATAATGTTTTAGAAGTTTTTTGATTTCTAGTACACTGAAAAAAAAAAATTCAGCAGAATGTGCTTTTTACTCAGGCAATTTTTGCCTAAGAACAAAAGCAATACACGTAAAGCAATTGTTTCTTTTAAAAAAAGTCAATTTTTGCCTTTAAAAAAAGGTAAAAATTGCCTTAGTTAAAATTTTTGCCTTTTTTAAAAGCAAAAATTATGCCTTTTTTTAAAAGAAACAATTGCTTTACGTGTATTGCTTTTGTTCTTAGGCAAAAATTGCCTGAGTAAAAAGCACATTCTGCCGAATTTTTTTTTCAGTGTATTTGCGATTTTAAAGTAAATTCTCGAAAAAAATCTGATATAGTATAGCTTTTAGTGTCTGAAATAAAAATATTACCCAAATAGTATAGCATAATGTAAAAAAAGTAGTAAATAGTTGGTATCAGTACACTGTTAGAAAATTCTGTTGTGATTTTACAGCAAAAGTACAAGAAACAATTATCCATCAAAATAATATTGTAATTTTACTTCACTAAAGTGCTGTAAATTTACAGTATACCATGTATTTCAAAAATATTCCCTACACTGTTAGAAAATTCTGTTGTGATTTTACAGCAAAAGTACAAGAAACAATTATCCATCAAAATAATATTGTAATTTTACTTCACTAAAGTGCTGTAAATTTACAGTATACCATGTATTTCAAAAATATTCCCTACTATTAATTCGGAAATTCTACCATTTGAATATTTACATAAAAAATCAAAACTGTTTATATTGTTTTCTGATATGTTATAATAAAAGTAAATTAACTAAAAAAAAAAGTTTTATTAGCATTTTATTATCATTATTACGGAAATGCGACGCCACGATTTGAACCCTTAGTCGTATATAGTGTTGTCTATCTTGTATGGAGCCATCAACCTTGGGAGCTGCGCCTAGACGCGCTCGACCAAGGGAGGCTATGAAAGTCTCTTGCAAAGTATTATGTATATATTGTCCCGACGCGAAATAGTCATTATAATAATCAAATTATTTATTATATGAATGTTGAATGACTTTTCTTCGATCGACAGTTAAAAATGAATTAATTTAATGTAATAATCGCAAATTAATAAGGAATAAAATATTATCTTTTTGTCAAATTATAAAAATTAATGTTATATTTATTAAAATTATACATCTCCGAACTAAAGTAAAGTTAAATTAAAATTTTGCATAAGACAAAAAATAAAAATAAACTAAATTTGTTACAGTATCAAATATAAGAAACATGTGTACCATACTCTATTCTTCTTTTCAGTCCAAAATTATTCACTAATACTAAAATGCAATATAATTAAAAAATAGTTTTTATTGAAACTATTTTTAAGCTTAAAAAATGATTCAGCTATACTTTTAGGACTTAAAATCATATTCTTAAGGTTAAAATTCAGTCAATGCTATAGTTATAATGTAAAAAACCTCAGCTAAAATCACAAAATGAATATCTGTAAAATTCTTTGAGTTTTATACTGTGATTTCGCAAACAATTTACTGTAAATAAAAAGTACAATTTTTTTTTGCTGTGAATTATTCAAATACAATGAAATTTTGCTGTATTTGTAAGGTTTTACTGTAAAAATTACAACATTTTTGTGAATTTACTACATTTATGTGTTATTACAGCAAAAACTGTAAATTCACAATATGTTTGTACTGTAAAGTTGCTGTAAAATTACAGAAATTTCTAACAGTGTAGATGAGTACGAAGCCTATGAAATACTTAAAATTTTTCAGATCTAGAGAGGAGTTAATTTTTTCCAAAAAGTAATTTACAGAAAATTATATCTAAAAACAGAAAAAAGTATGCTATAAATTAAATAATAGGAGAATATAAATAAAATTGAAAAAAGTTTGAAATCGCCTGTTCTAACCCAGGTGGGAAAG